AAAGAGAGGGAGAGAGCACTAACAGACTGGTGGAGAAACTCTTGGTACTTTATAACAGATTGGAACTAGAAAGAGATCTAGTAATCTTGACCTTTTTATGTAACCATATATAGGTAATCCTCAACTTATACTCATAATTGAGCCCAGAAAATGGTCATAAAATGGGTCACCACATAAACATATCAAATTTTGCCACTTTTTTTTTTTTTGCAGCAATCATTAAGCAATGGTGCAAATGGCCGTAATTACTGACCTGTTAACAGGCACCCAAAATGTGATCATGTAACCTAAGAGGGTGGGTGGGGGACTTTGGAGTCTAGGTCTTAAGTAGCCCTGGGGAGGTCTGTTGCAACTTTAAACAGTCACTAAGTGGCCAGTCGTAAGTCGGTGACTACCTGTATCCTATTTCTAGATTCATTTCTCCCTTCTTTGGGGACAATAAATAAGTTCCTTTATGACTCTGGTCATGTTCTAAGACCTAGAAATCCTATACCTTCTGGCAATTGGGGATTTGAAAGTTTACGAAATGTGTGTTGAGAAAGGGAAAAAAAATAGTTATTTTTGCTCTTTCCTTTCCTCCTCCTCTTCCTGTGCACATTATTGTTCACCAACAAACAAACTGCCTATGGACCTCTTTATTTTATTGTAGGTCCGAAATCTCATGTTGAAAGGGTTCCCAGTCCCCCATGGCTCTTGGATTTTATCCTATGGTCCTTTGAGATTTCATTCATTGCATACCTGTGAGAACACAAATTGCTACATTGGGCTGTTTGTAAGAAAAAGTGAAATTGGTAATGTCAATGAAGGCCGATTGTGGGGAACAAGCAACAGTTTGTGTTTTCTGCCTCTTTTCTACACTTCTTCCTCATTGGCTGCAGGATTGCAAAGAACAGACATGTGTGATAGAAAAGGAGGGTGCCCATTTTGTACCTCTGGTTCCTGAAGTATGAAATGGAAGTCACCAAAGCGATGTTTGAGCAGTTGCTACATGTTGTTGAACTGTTTTACTTTGTGATTTTTTTCCCCTTCTTTCCGTAAACCATTGTGTGATTATAAAAGCTCTTGAGATCCTTCCAAAAACAACATGCTTTGAAAAGGAAGTAGGAGAAGGAAGTGAGCAATTCATAATTTGTACCTTCCAAACTCTCCCACACCAGTGTCTTCAATATCATTACACCTCTGCTTTTCCACTAAAAAATAATGCCAAACCATAAACTTAGGTATCTGCTGGCGTAGCCTGCAAATATCAAAACTCGAGGATGATAAAAAAAAATGACTACCCCAATAAAATCAGATTGTATTATTAAGATCTATAGAGAGGTCAGCAATTGTGGCCCCTTCCTCAGCTGTCAATCGTTTTTCCTGCTGGCTCTTTAAGCTAAAGAAAGCAGGAGAAGAAACGTTTCAGATAGCAATAAATACTTCCAAATTAAAGATTAAGTTGGCCATGGACTAAGCTAGGGGATTCTTTGCTGGGAATTCTGCACAGGTAGCACAGAACATCTGGAGGCAAGTTTGGGATTGTCGTTGGAAGTTGCAAGTAGTATTTAAGATCTTGTCGGCATTTTGATGACAACTGATGATGATGGGAAGGGCAGCTTCCTCCCTCTTTTCCTGAGTTTATTTCCCAGCCATGGCTCTGTTTGAGTTGTAACCATGGATGTGGAAGGGTGCCATACAGTGGTGGGTTTTAAATTTTTTTGCTACCGGTTTGGTGGGCGTGGCTAGGTGGGGCATGTGACTGAGTGGGCGTGGCCAACTTGACATCACTCATTCCCATGCAGTCACATGACCCTCTCTACCTAGCCACGCCCACAGGAAAAGGTAGAAAAAAAATTGGAATTTCCACCTATCTACCCCCACCCTCTCTTCACCAGTCTCCCCCGTTTCCCCTCCTTTAGCAGCCCCGGCCCTAGTTCTGCTTCCTCCCCCACCACTGCCTCTTTGTTCAGGCTGCTTACCTTCCACGGTGGCTGTTCCTGTGTCCGGAAGGCAAGCTGACTGGAATTTTTGGTGGCCCCCAGCCAGCCGCCGCTGCTGGAAAGCAGCTGGCAAAGAAGCCACTTTGTGGCTGTGGCGGCTGGCCGCAGGCCACCAAAACGTACTAGTGGTCCCGGAAAAGCTGTTGCCATTGCTGCCATGTTATTCACGCATGCACATCCCATTGGACTTGCAAGACAATGGGATGCCCATGCGTGAAGAACATGGCGGCGATGAACACGGAGGGTGGGCTGATCGAGCGGTTACCGGGGAACCAGTTCGGGGGCATGGCCAGCTGGCCATTGCTACCGGTTCGGTGACCTTGGCCACATTTCTGCCAGCGGTTTGCGCGAACCGGTGCGAACCGGCTGAATACCACCTCTGGTGCCATACTTGAAATAAAATCATGTTTGGGGACTTGGTTACTCTCACAATTTGGACATTGCTGGCTAGGTGTAAAACCTGGATCTACCCCAGGATGGGAAGGAGAGCAAACTTTATACCACGACAGCAGTTTGCAGAGATAGTATCTTAAAAATGAGCCATTTGCAGCATAGAAGCAGCTGCCAGAATATCAATCAATTCAGTTCATTGTGGTCAGAGACCATTACAAGCAGAGTGCTCTTATGAATGAACGGATGAATGATTTATCTTAATAGATGTGGATGATAAAATCAAGTTTAAGGCAGAGTTAGAATACATTTATAAAACAGCTTTATTTATTTATTAAATTTATTCACTGCCCATCTTGCTGTCCTGCAACTCTGGGTGGCTTATAATAAGATTAAAACCATAAGGTAAATACCAGGAAATAGCTAAGGTAGTGGGGTGGTATACGATAGAGTGGAGGTGGGATTGTTTAGTTTCCATAAGGGAAGTCTTAAGTTCAGCCTGTATTATTCTGTAAAAACTAAAATTATAATAAATGCGAATACGTCTAAAATGGCAAAATAATGATATTTAAACTTTAAATGAATTACAGTTACACGGAATGCATAGTGGAAGACTGGCCCATCAGGATCAGTCTTCCATTAGGATCAGGCACAAAATCAGAATAGCTAAATTTGATAGCTAAATTTGACTAAGGCCATGTTTTCCCCACATGAAGCATTTGGAGCAGGGTGGATTTGATTTCAATCAAGTCGATTTAAATCACTAGTAAAAAGGCTTGATTTATATCAACTCGATTTAAATCATAATTTTTGAAAAGCAACTGTCATCTCTGTCCCGCAGTAGCTCCTCTGATCTGCTGTTGACTCACCGACAGTCCCAATATTGCGGGAATATATAGCCTCATGCTACATAACTAAGCTCCATTTCATGCTGAATAAACTAAATTATTAATGTATCTTAAATAGAAAACTAACTTTAGATAGATTTTTACTCCAAAAGCATTTTATTAAAATAAATTTGGTAAAAAAAAAAATCCAATTTAATTTTTTTTAAAAAAATCTGATTTTATTTATTTATTTATTTTTTAAATCATCGATTTTTATCCACCCTGATTTGGAGGCTGCATTGTGGATGGTCTTCAAAATGTCTACTGAAAAGACCTGCCTGTTCGTGAACACAACTGCCGTGCAATGCAGGGCTTCCCAGAATATCATCCTGCCTAGCTCCCACTCTTACTTTGTCCTTTTTCTGTTGACATCCTTCCAAATAAAGATTTCAGTAGGATTCTTGGATATAAAGAGGATGCTAGAGCTTTGTTCCTTGCCAGCTTCCCTTTTTAAAATTGTTACTTGGAAGAGATAGTTAGGTACCTTGACACTAAAAGCCATAAACCATTGATCGGTTTTGACTTAGCATGTTTTGTGAAAAGCAATTTATTTGCAAACCACGTTTAAATAAATGTGGTTTAAGAAAGGGGAAGAACGCAGCCGCTGTGTTCAATTGACTGTGCTGGATTAATGTCAGTGTGCAAAACTTTCGTCATACCCATGGATCAGTAAACCAGGGTTTTGGTGAACTTGACTTACTATTATTATTATTGGAGCTCTTGTGCAGGTGCTAACTACAACCTAATCATTCCTCTTTGACTTACCTGACAAAGCAGAAATCTTTATGTTGGTATTCTGCCAGAACCAGGGCTTCTTGTTGTTGTGAACATTTATAAATAAGGTTACCTAAACCAAGATTTGCTTTAGATTTTGGAACCTTGCCTTGGAAGGGATATAAAAGAAACACTAGTTAGATGACATGTCTGGCTTGTGTGATTAATTGCATAGGTGAGAGTAACCAAAAACAGGAATAACCAGGATACAGGCACATACCTTCCTAGAACCTTCCCATTCTCTGCTCAGCCATAGGGCTTATTTTGACTGATTATGTGCCATCAAGTCAACTCTTAACTGTCATATAGATCAATATTCTGTATGATGATCCTCTCCTAACTGTAGGAGACAAACAGTCTGAGCCTGTGTGTGTGTTTGTGTCAAATTTGTAATGTCTATTCCCCTGTAAGAGTCCTAATTCCAGCCCCAGTTGAAAGTCCGTTGACTTATCTGGCATCAATTTAGCCTTGACTATTAGTAGTTCAGTTTCTTGTGTATAAGTAGCATGAAATAAACTTGTAGTACTTTTGAACTCTATCCTGGTTCCTGACTTCTTGCGCCTGACACTAACTCGGTCTTCCAGATCTTCCAATGGTGCATCCACATGACTATATAACTGAATCTATCTACCTTCCTGCTGGATGTCTTCTTCTCTTTCCTCCCACCTTTGGCAACCTCAGAGCCTTCTCCAGAGAGTTAGATCTTTGCATGATGTGTCCAAAGTATAGAATACTCTGATCCTGGTGATTTGTGTCTCAAGTGAGATCTCTGGGTTAATTTGTTCAGTGATCCCTTTGGTTTGTTTTCCTGGCTGTCAGAATATTCTTAGGAATTTTCTCCAACACCATAGTTCAGAAGCATTAATACTCTTCCCATCCGGCTTCTTCCAAGTCCACAATGTAAATACCTAGAATTGAATGTTCATTAAAAATTGTAACCTGTGTCTTTTTGCTCTTTATTGTACAGCTGACATAATATCTACAGTAGAATTTAATCATTCTGGAGAATTGCTAGCGACGGGAGACAAAGGCGGTAGAGTTGTCATATTTCAACAAGAGCAAGAGGTAAGGTTTTCCTTTTTTTTCCTCTTTTTTTTGTAGTTGCTCCAAAGTAGAATTGATTTAGTTATAAAAGTGCCACTTGCCCTATTTGATATGATTGAGTTTAGGTACCAAAAAAATGGGCAAAAGTTTCTCCTCACATTACAAATGCAGTTGTGCTTGTTTACATAGTAATTCCCTTGCATTCCCTTGGATTGTGGCTAAACCTGCATAGGTAGAATTACAGGAAATAGTGACAAACATGATTATAGAATCACATACTATGTTTGTTTGTTTGTTTTCTTGCATCCTTGCTTGCTTTAAGCCAAAAGGAAGACCAATATCATCTGACAATTGAAAATGAATGAGACTTGATTTCTTAGGAACCTTTACATTTAATATTAAAACGTACAGGTTGTCTTTGACTTACTACCTTAATGGAACCTGGAATTTCTGGCATATGTGATGATGGTTGTTAGTTGAAGCATCCATGTAACCAATCTGATTTTATGACTTTTTTTTTGTTTTTTTGCAGCAGTTATTAAGCAAATCCATGCTTAATAACTGCTAAATGGGTGTATTTTTTGTTGGAAACCAAAAGTGTACAGGTCTACCCTTATAGCCTGTATGTAAAATGCAGAATAAAATAATCTGTGATTTTGGCTTAGGGTATATCTAGGGCTTGGGGTTGGGGGGGATTAAGAAAGAAATAGGAAAAAGCCAATATTGGGTCCTTCCTGGAATAATGATGAGCCTAGTGGTATATTGAAGTACCTGCTGTCTGAAATACCATACTCTTCCTCCTCCACCCAGACTTGAAGATTAGAAGGCTAATGAAGCCTGTGAAAAGTTATCTGTTGTTGTTATTGTTGTCCTTGGCTGCTACTCTAGGTATATTTACTGTTTTTGCTATTGATTGCTTTGTTGAGTTTACGTTGGTTATGTCAGGTGTGAAAGACCTGGTCCACATGCGAAGGTCCAATTAAACTGATTTATTACCACTCATGCCTATGCACAGGAATCTTCTCAACTAAACACTTAGCATCTGCTTGAAGTTAGATAAGGGTCAACATAATTCAAAGGAGATTGCTCTGTTTGTAGCTACATAGGGATTCTAGGTTGGTACATAGGAATTCTAGGTTTAAAGAGGGCTACATAGGGATTCTAGGTTTAAAGAGGGTTTAAAATCCCTCTTTTAAACTCCATCCTAGGTTCTGCTTCTCCTACAGCAGAGGTCTCCAATCTTTGCTGGCTGAAGATTGGGAGTTGAAGTCCACAAGTCTTAAAGTTGCCAAGATTGGAGACCCCTGTCCTACAGAATCACTGTTAAAAGATGGACAACTAAGTCAGTCGATTAAAAAAATCAATAGCCAAGCCTTCTCTCAAGTGCTGAAACAGCCATTGTGTTTGGCAAGTCACGGTTTCTGCTGCTGTCTGATGCACAAATCCAAATAATTGTGGTTTATACAGCAAACTTCAATTAAAAGAGATTAGGATAACAGTGGGTCAAGCGGAGACATCCAATGCCTTTTGGGATCAGGGCAGTGTAACTGGTGGAGGGATGTAGCTGAGTGTGGAACCAGGCCTCTCATAGGACCAGGGCTCAATTTCATTAGTTGAAATTTTCATTCAGAGGCTATTGGGGGACGGACCAAATGAAACTTTGAAATGTGCCTTCCATTGCTCCCAAAGCAGAATTCTTGAGTGATGCTGTCCAACATCCATACACTTGGCATGGTCGAGCATTTTGGATGATGGGTAACTCCTGAAGACCCCTCGGTAGGAGAATCCCATGCTGCCTAAAGCAATCCTCTGATACTGTACGAAGCATTTTCTGTGCTGTTGACTTCGTAATCTGTCACGTATATGTCTTTTTCATCACATCACGGTCATCTAGATCCAGGCCATTACACACAGCCTATTAAAACAAGGCCTGTTCTTTTTTGGCTTGTGGATGATGCTCAAGTTTCAACATAATGTTCTTTTGTTCTGGTAACATCCTTCTCCAGACTCTTATTTGTGCCCATAATAGAATGCCCTACTTTGGCTTCCTCCCACAGCAAGAAGCACTCATAGACTACCCAGGAGATGAGTAGGCACTGAACACATGTGGGCAGGGAAGAGATTTCTCTCTTGAATAGCAAGTGTTCTCCCCAGGTTTTCATTAAGCAGCTTTGAGAGTATCTGACAAAAGATGGCCTTCAGAAGTCGTGAGTCTTTAGATACCCTTCCATTGTTGCATAGAAGGCTCCAACAATTCTTAGTGTGTCTGTGTGCAACTCTGAAAGCGAAAGCTTTTTCAATAGGATGTTGTAACAGTTCACAGGGCAAGGAGACAATCCTAAGATATGCATGCAAACCTCTTCATAAATATTTGTATCTTTGTACTTCATAGTGCATGTCTGAAAATATTCGAATTAAAATGCAAATTTTTCATTAGACTCCTTCCGTTTTCAGGTTTAGTCTAAAAATCTCTAGCTTCCCTGATGCATCAAGAACGAAAAGTCCTTGAATTAGTTGATTTTTAATCTGCATTGCAGAGATCGGTCTCAATCTACAACCATTCTTTCGGCGACTATTCAAATTAAAATGGCACTGAAAAAAGTGACTTATGACCAGTTCTCATACTTATGACAATCAGGTGATCAAAATTCCAGTGCTATTTATGATAGTTGTTGCATCCTGTGTCATATGCAACCTTCCCAGCTAACTTCCAACAAGCAAAGGCAATGGAGGAAGCCAGCTTCATGAGTCACTGAACATCTGCAGTGATTTGCTTAACGACCATAGCAAAAAAAGGACATAAAATTGGGTGCATCTCACTTAACAATCATCTTGCGTAGCAGTGGAAATTCTGGTCCCAATTGTGGTTGTAAATTGAGGACTGGCTGTACTACTTAAAGTTACAAAGTAGGTAGAACTAGGAAGAACTAGCCGCCTTCTCCTGGAAAACTTTCCCATCCAGAAGATAGATTGGCTAGATCAGGGGTCTGCAACCTTAAACACTCAAAGAGCCATTTGGACCTGTTTCCCACAGAAAAGAAAACACCGGGAGCCACAAAACCCTTCCTATGCCTGACTTTCTTGAGCAGCCACAAAACTAAAATATGTAGTTGAATTAAATGTTCTGTTTTCTTCTGAAACTTTTCTTGGATTTATCCATGGTTGGCCTACCAGAGGTTGAAAAACGCAATAAATCACATGCCGGCGGGTGTCGTACATTGGTGGTTGTGACACATATTTTGAGTGACAGGGAGCCGCAGCAGAGGGGTGAAAGAGCCACATGCGGCTCCAGAGCCACAGGTTCCTGACCCCTGGGCTAGATTATAGAAACTCTTTGCCTATGCAGAGTGCTTCTTGTTGACATCCTTCCCCTTAGGTTCAAGTGGTACAGCTTAGGGAAGGGCTTGCTACTTTTGCTAGTGATATTAGTGATATCCAGAGAGGTCAGATGATATGCATGTCCTCGTCTGGGCTAGGAGAAGAGCAGGCAAGAACTGGAGGGCGGAGTTAAACATGTCATCAGTTTAGAGTCCTTACGTTACTACAAATGATCCAAGTCCACCCTTTCTTGAATCTGTTGACCCTTATCTAGCCCCAATTTAGTGTTGACCCATTGAACCATTCTTGTGTATAGATTTGAATAAATCTTCTGTGTTGCAACTTAACCTATGGTGCTGACCCTTTGCACTTGACATTAATCTTGTTTAACTTTGCCCCCAGCCTGCTGTTCTCTTACATCTGGTTCTTAAATTCTCTGGGTATCTCAGTGAAGTCTTACATTTCAGGTTGTGCCTTGGAGAGCGCGTGGGAAAGGCTAAGTTTAATACTGTTACTATAGTGGAAATTTTCCACGGAGACCCAGATAATGCAGTTGTCAGTCCTGGAAGCCATCTTTTGCATTGGGCCTTCAGACCTGCCACATTTACTACTGTGGGAAATTGGGAGGGGGGATTGTATGGAGCATGGGTGATATATAGTCATAATAACATTCCTTTCTCAGAAAGTCAAGGACATCTTGCCTTGCACCTGGGAGGCTGGAATTGGGAGGCATCTCTAGTTGGGACGGTGCTTTGATTGGACTTGTGGGTGTTGGGCAGGGACTTGAACTTTCCTTTGGGTGGAGAAAACCTAGAAATTTTCAGATTCGGGTTTCCACAGATGTGCCAATATGACATCTCTAATAAAATGTAACTTTGAGGAAACTCAAGCCTTGGAGTTTTCTTTCTTTGGGGGTGTTACTTGGAACCCTGACAGCAGTAAGGATAGGAAACTGGTTCTGGTCCAGGAGCTGGGTCTATTTTTCATCTGCTTTAGGAGGCCACAGTGATGTCAGGAGTAGAACTCAACGAAGGCAGGCCCCTTCCTGCATACCACTCACGTCTCCCCCATTAAGCCAAAAACTGTGATGTTTTTGCTCTCTTGTTAGAAGGAAGACATGAACCTTTCCTACTTTTGATTTTCCAGGTACAATACCTGGAGATACTTTGCTTGCGTTCTTTCAGGAAAATGTAAATAGTTGAACAGTAGATCTTGTAACAGGATCTTGTAATCCTGATTTAATATTGTAAGCAGTGTGTGTTTGTGTGTGTGTGTAAGGAAACAATGGATAACAATTCTGCGCTTATAGTTTTAATTTAAAAATATTCAGTTTGAAATGATATCAGGTCTCTGTGTTGATTAATTGATACATTCTTCTGAAAGAAAGAACTGGGAAGTGTAAAATATTTTATGTGCTGTATAGACTTCTTAAGAGTGGGGAGGTTATGAGTTTGTCCTTCACGTAGACTTAAGATAAACTTCTAGTGCCACCTCGTGGTCACAGTGCTTGGGAACAAGTCACTCATACAAGTGATCAGCCTACCCCATATTTCTCTTTTGACCTATAAAATGACAAAAAGAATATTAGTTATTATACTGGTTCTTGCCTGGGGGCATCCAGGATATTGGATATATCCCAAGACACCAATGATCAATCCTTAACTAAATTACTGGAAACACTTGTATGGTTCAGATGTAAAACT